AGTGATATGAATAGTAACAAGCTTCGTTTTTTTTTTAATTTTATTTCTCTGATATTTAAAATTATTATATTTTGATTATTACAAGATAATTTTTTTATTTTTGATAAATTTGCATTATCTATCACTATTTTAAATGTATACCGCATTCGAATTGATTGCATATGTAATTACTGTTTTTAATTAATCAAATTCTTCGAAAACAAACATTGAAACAAAAATTGAATTTGAATGAATTACCTTTATTGTAGACAGAGAAACAAAGTTTGTAATTTTTCAAAACATACTTTAACATTCGCTATATCACCATAATAAAAATATTTATATTTTTAATTAATTTTTTTATAAATAATTTTATTTTCGATTAAGAGAGGAGATTTCTGCAACGAAAATAATATCAACACGATAATTCGGAAAATTTTCAGTTATATCAACGTTTATTTTCTCTCTCATGTATAATAAAAATTTTTATTACATTTAATTGAAAATATGGTGTTAATTCATTGAAATTGCTTTTGAAAAAAGAAAATTAAAAATATAAAAATCCTAGGGAATTTTTTATTACATTAACGAAAAATTACGAGGAAAAATAATGTTGTATTAAAAGAATAATGAAAAAACCAAATTCCCTTCTTCTCATTGAAAAATGTTTTCTTCAACCTTTATTTTCTATTAGAAAAAAAACAATTTTTTACATCTCTACACATGATTCTTTCAGTTATTATATATAGTTCAGTTACAAAACCGCGGAAACTTCACTGGTCGCATCTCTACGAGTGAAAATAAGCGCGATCGAAGTACTTAATGGGAGTACGTCACGCTGACCGCAGATAACATGGTTGGACCGACCGCTGGTGAATAGTTGAACGACTACAGTGGTAATTTTCGGATAGCGGGACGGAAGCGCGCCTTTCGATGCCTGTTATAAACGTTAAATCGATTAGGCGAGACCGAGCTTTTACGCGCCGGACACAAAATCGCGTTTTTAACGTAAAAGCGAGCGCGCAAAACACCACCACGATTCGTCGTGGTGTTCGATCAGAATCGAACGTCGAATTACGCGCACAGACAACGTACGTATGTAATGGTCTTTTTCTGAACGGCAATATTTTCACAAGCCATATCGTGTTATACATCGATTATAATAACGGGAGAAAAGAGAGAGAAGGGATAGTAAGTATCCAGTGTTTGCTGTAGATAATTTCAAAATTATCTAGATAAAGATAAAGATAAAAATCCGTGAATTTATCTTAGATGAGATAAAGATGATTTTGCTTTTATTTAATCTAGATGAAAGATGAGATAATTATTGCGATAATCTAGATTTAGATATTTTTGTTTATTTTAGAAGACTATAAATATTTGTAAAAAATGTGACGCAGATTATAAATGGGATATTAAAATCATAAACACATATTTTTTCTCTTTTCCTAAAGAATATTTAAATAGTAGCAAAAAGGTATATAAATGATATGATCAATATTTATTTATTAATTTATATTTATAATATATTTATAATATATTAATAATATAATAATAATATATTTATAATATATTAATAATAATAATATAAAAAACATTTTAGATATTTTAGATAGATTTTTAGAAGCATTCCTGGAAAACTTTTTTGCATAATGAAAACGCCATCTTAGACAATTTTTAGATAAGATGACATATATTTTTCATCTAAGACAAAGATAAAGATACTTTGTATTTCTTCATCTAGTTAAAGATAAAGATGATCCATTTCTTTATCTAGATGATTATATAGATAATTTTATCTAGATACCAGCAAACACTGTAAGTATCAATAGTTTATGAAACTGCAGTGGCCCACGTCCTGCATGTCAATGCGCTTTTATATCGCGCGACGCAATGCGACATGTCACGCATGTCGGTGCTTTTCGGGGGAAACGCGCGAGAGCATTTTATTTCGGCAGAATCTGTAAGCCGGCAATCACTATCGACGTGTATTTACAGTCGGTTTAATGCAGCCGATACCATCGGCGTCTATCCGCATATTCGACAACGCTAGAAAATCGATACTTGCACTGAGCGTTGGCTAGGCGAGCGCATGAGTTGTTTATGACTTGAGAGATATTTATATGAAATTTCGGCATCTTCATGTCGCGAGTTGAAATTTTAATTCGCGAAAAATTCGAAGATATCGCGTTATCGCGTTCCGCGACATTTAATTCATTTGACCTTTTCAATTTGTCATCAAAAAAGCGAAAAAGAAACATTAACTTGGTCTTTTTTTAAATATATATTTTTTAAATATAAATTAATAATATATTTAATAATAAAGTTAATAATAAATTAATAATACATTTTTTAATATATACGAATAAAAAGCTAAGCGCATGAAATGCGCAATCTATTTTAGTACTCTCTAAAAGTGAATCAGTGAAAACATCACTAATTTAAACAGTAAAATAAGATTTCATTGAGAATCAGTGAGTATTTTACTGATCTTCAGTGGAAACGCTTATTTTTTTGTTATTTTATCTTATATCTCACTGATTATGGTCAGGTAAAATAAAATTCACTGTAAAATCAGTAAATTTTACTGTAAAAGTAATTGCTAGTTCGTTCATTTACCGTTACAATCGCTATCTCTCTCGTATTTAATTTTAGTTATAAGAATTATATAAAGTTTGCAAAGAGCGACATTTAAAATTAGAAGTATTACTTCGATTTAATTTCTGATACAAGCTCAATAGAGAGGCTTCAGATATTAAATCGATCTTTATAAGTCGGACAAATAAATGTCTGGCGACGTAATGAAAATTATTTGTTCGTTATCTATTTAAAATAACAAGTTCAATATGCATGTAATATAAATAAAATAAAATTTTTAATATAATAAATATTTAGTAAATATAAATAAAATTTTTAATTTGATATGAAATAGATAGAGAGATGAATTATAGTTTAATATTACTGACAATAACGAAAGAAATATTACTGATATTGAGAAATATTACTGATTGAAACAGTCAAAATTATTAACTGATTCTTTCAATAAAATATCACTGATTTACAGTACTGTACTTATAACTGCTGTAATCAGTGACTATATTTACTGTTTTTCAGTGATGATACACTGATTCACTTTTAGAGAGTACGTATTTTGTCGATTTATTTATTTATAAATCTCTTGAGCAGTTTATATAATATAAATCTGCGAAAAGCTCACTTCGATGAGAAAAGCGCGCGATCTTATTTGTTGAATTTGCCTTGCAACACTCTCTCTTTATTTTCTATTTTCACAAACTGTGCACGGAATATCCTACAATATGCTATCGTTTCTCCTTCCGTGGAGTAGCCGGCGCGCTGAAATCTTCCGCCGAGATTAAATGACTTCCAGTTGTATAGAATCTTAATGTCGGAAGGCGCTACTTTGCTGGAAATACAGCGCGCTTTCTACGAAACGGCTTCAAGTAGGATTTAATGTTTCGTGAAACACGGAGTACAGATTAAAATGCCTTAGATCGGATTTACCTTCGCTGCTGTATTAAGCGCTATTTTAGAAATATTTATATTCGCTCGAATAAGCTGAGATTAACGGACGTAGTTTAATTGATATTCTCTCTCGGAAAAGAAAGTCCTTAATCAAATATATATAAATAATTATATATAAAATATGTACATATGTCTTCTTTTTTTTGCAAAATTTTTATAGTACTCTAATCAAAAGTATTGATCACCTTAATAAATAAAAATAGTATTATAGATTAATATTATCAAATTATATCTTATGCTTTAGAATAATGTCATAAAAATTAAAATCATGACAAATAATAAAAATGTGAAACTTTTCATTTTTCAAAATAATCAAAATTTCTTTACCTTCAATACTATAACATACCTTTAGCATTCTTCAATTTTTTAAAAACTGTTATTGATATATTTGATCCAGCATGTTTGCAATTCCTACAATTGTTTTTGATTAATAGGTCTCATTTTTCGGACACTTCTATCAAGTTCATCCCACAATAGTTTTATCGGATCCGATGATTGAGAGCGTCTAGGAGGCTATTTTGAAGAATTTAAAATTTCATATTTTTGTTATTATTTGTTATACTTTTAATTTTTACAATATTAAATAATACAAATTAATAATATTTATATATGTTCATTAAAATAATCGTTTCCCTGTATTTGAATGTAATGTAATATTTTTAATCGGTACTGCATATACAAGGGGAAAAAATATAGAAGAAAAATAATTGAAAAATAATTAGAAAAATAATTTGCATTATTTTTTTTAGAGTTTTTAAAATTAAAATTAAAAAAGTGAGAAATCCAGACCATCTATTTTATATTTAATCGTCCAAATATTTATATATAAGCATTTTTCACTTTTTCAAATTTTATTTTTTCTTAAAAAAATAAAAAATGACGCAAAATTCTTGTTTCTATTATTTTTCAATTTATAATTTTCTTTATTATTCTTTTTGTACATACAGAAACATTGATTATACGAGAAAAGAAAACAAAAAATATATAAAGATATATAATTATATGTATTTATACATGATTTCTTCTTAAGATTTTCTTAAGTCTAGATTTAAGATTTTCTTAAATCTTTCTTTTTCAATCCTTTTCTTTCTTTTATAATTAAATAAAGATAAATAAAATATAAATTAAAAATATATAAATAAAAGCGAAATAAAAATATATAATTCTAAAATATTTCTGTAAAATATTTGGACAGATTACATACTTTAATATGCTAACATTGTGTATACATACATGTAGTAACTTAGACTTTCATCATGATTCTGCAAAGTATTCATCTAAAAAATTAATCTTCATTATTATTTCTCTGTACGCTAATATAAATTAATATTTAATCAAATGGGCTAGTAAATAGTCTCTAAATGAATTAATCATATCTTAATGATAAAATTTCGCCGAGCATCTTTCACGACATTTCGACGGCTCGTAGCGTCGCGGTCAATATGTCGCGTGAAGTTAGTCGCTCGCGCATGCGCGTGGCGCGCGTGTCGCGCAACATCGCGAATTTCTCGTTAGTCCACAGTCGCAGTCCGAAAGTGTGAGGTGGCGATTTCGTTCTTTTTATCGTTTCAATTTTACTGAAAGTTGTCGTTTTTAAATGAAACGATACACAAGATACTCTTAGGAAGGATATTGTACGTCAAGGTGAATATCGATACTTTTTAAGGATGCTTCTTATCTCATGTACTAAGACTTCGACGTATAAACTTTCAATTTTGGCTAGGTCCTTTAATATCATCCTGATTTCCACAGGAATATACATAATTCATTCTCGACAAATTGCAAATTATTTTCGCAAATCTCGCAAACTTTAGTTTGAAATTCTTATTTTGGTCATCATAACCTAAATGTTCAAGCATTAAGTTAATGTCAACTGCGTTTAATCGTCTTGATCATTACGATAATTATGCATTTGTAATAAATTTATACGAGGAAAATATATTTCATTTATTTATATTTTTTAAGAAAATTTGAAGGTATAAATATAATATTGCTAACATTTTTCTTTTCTTGTTTGTATGCGCAGTCTGAGACAAGATGTCGACGTCAGCAATATACATCTTGGACGTAAAGGGCAAGGTGTTGATCTCACGAAACTATCGTGGCGATATCGAGACTGGGGTCATAGAAAAGTTTATGCCACTTGTGATGGAACGCGAGGAGGAAGGTAATCTTACTCCCATCATTCAGACACCGGAATGCACATATGCATATATAAAATATAACAATCTGTACATCGTGTCCACCACGAAGAAAAATGCAAACATATCCCTGGTATTTGTATTCTTGCATAAAGTGGTGCACGTCATGCAAGAATATTTCAAAGAATTAGAGGAGGAAAGTATACGAGACAACTTTGTCGTTATTTATGAGCTCCTAGATGAATTGTTGGATTTTGGCTACCCTCAAACCACCGATAGCAAAATTCTGCAGGAATACATTACTCAAGAGGGTCACAAACTGGAGATTCAACCTAGGATTCCTATGGCAGTGACCAATGCTGTCTCTTGGCGATCAGAGGGCATCAAATATCGCAAGAATGAAGTCTTTCTTGATGTAATAGAATCGGTGAATCTTTTGGCGAATGCCAACGGAAATGTCTTAAGCTCCGAGATCGTTGGTGCCATAAAAATGAGAGTCTATTTGTCAGGAATGCCGGAATTGAGGCTGGGCCTCAACGATAAGGTCCTGTTTGAATCAACAGGACGTGGGAAGTCTAAATCAGTGGAACTTGAAGATGTCAAGTTTCATCAGTGCGTCAGGCTGTCACGTTTTGAAAACGATCGTACGATCTCGTTCATTCCACCAGATGGTGAATTCGAGCTGATGTCATATAGACTGAACACACATGTGAAACCCCTGATCTGGATCGAATCTGTGATCGAGCGGCACGCTCACAGTCGGGTGGAATATATGATAAAGGCGCGGTCGCAATTCAAGCGTCGTTCGACAGCGAACAATGTGGAGATCGTGATTCCGGTGCCCAACGATGCCGACTCGCCCAAGTTCAAGACCACAATTGGCAGCGTCAAGTACTCGCCCGAGCAGAGCGCCATCACTTGGATTATCAAGTCTTTTCCTGGTGGCAAGGAGTATCTCATGAGAGCGCACTTTGGTTTGCCATCGGTCGTTGGGGAAGATGTCGAGGGCAAACCGCCTATACAGGTGAAGTTCGAGATACCGTATTTCACTACGTCCGGCATTCAAGTGAGATATTTGAAGATCATCGAGAAGAGCGGTTATCAGGCCTTGCCTTGGGTGCGTTACATCACACAGAATGGAGATTACCAGCTGCGGACGAATTAGCTAATTGACAACGGGGTGGATGATATCAGAATCTCGGGCATTATGCCCGAATACGAGGATTAGTCGAACGTACGACAGCAGATTAGAATTGACGGTAATCGTTTACCATTCCAATGCCATACGGTGGAAAAATGATGCAGGAACAAATTAGATTTTCGAATATTATCTCTTGGTTTCAACAAATTTTTCACATTTATTCTGCACGTCCCGCGCTTTTTAATATTTCTCTAAAACAGGATAATATGATGAAAATATTCTATTTTTACGGACATTTTACATTTGAGATTGGTTCATATTTTAAGAATCTTATTTCATCTAAATGGGTTTTCCCATTCGAGATCGGTAGGATAAACTTTATATATTTTTCAATTTATTTTTTAAATGCGATATAACGTTATAACAGCGTCTAATAAAACAACTGCAACTTTACATCGGGAACATGTAAATATATCGGCAATTTATTTTATAAATGTTTTTCTTTGACAAAGCGAATTTACAAACGGTTAATTTAAAACTCTAAATAGTATTATATAAATAAAGATTAAATGTAATTCAACATCATGTTTAGTAATCGTAATATAGTACTAGGTTTATGTCGATACATGTAAAATAACAAAAATATATTAAATTTTTAAAAGAATATATTAATGATATACTTAAAGAAATAATTATTTTATATTATTCCTACCGCATTTTTACTCCTTTTAGTTGCAATACAATATCGGCTATCTTAAGGATTCCCATTCCTCGGAAAACACTGGTCAACAAAAAAAATAATTTTAACTTTTTCCTCTTAGAATTTCCTCTTAGAATTTCCTCTTAGAAATAATTTTAACTTTTTCCTCTTAGAATTTTGCAGTTTTGGACTTATTTAAGTGTGCTGATTAGTTTTTTTTTAACAGCTCTTGTTTTTTATTATTTTTAGATTACCCCCTTTAGACATCACGTGCCGTTTTTTTGAGTTTTACTCAAAATTATTATTTTTTTTTATTATTTTAACTTTCGATATATCTTCGACTCGGAGACGTTATTTACATAATCCAGATAGTTTTTGTTATATTTGTGGCGAATACATCTTTCAAAAATATCGAAAACCTATTTCAGAATTTGTTAATTGTAATATCTTAGAAATAAAAAAAGTAGAGCTGATACAACTAAACTAGTATTTTTTTCGTAATTAGTGCCTTAGATGTAATCTATAATACATGTTAAATGTCAGGAAAAAATTTGAGTGTTGACCAGTGAAATCGAAGACCGTTTGGCCAATGCAATGATATAAACGTTTGTCGATGCGAGTAAAAAATGATAAATATTTCAACGAGACAAACAGAAAGGAAAAGAGAACTCGTGTCATAGTTAAGGGAAAAACGCGATTAGAGCGAAATGGTGGAAGCCGACACCGACAACTTTTTATTTCAGCCCCTTTCCCTCGCTCTATAAAATGCTCGCGGTATGCAAATTTTTTTGGCATGAACGCGCACGGGCGCGTAATAATTTTATGGAAATCAGTAGTCTCTCTCGCCAAAGCACGGTATTCGCTCGCACAGAATTTCATACGTTTGCGCGAATCGGGAGGAATGGACCACGAGAGGAAAAAATCTCTCTCTCTCTCTCTCTCTCTCTCTCTTTCTCTCTTTCTCTTCACTATCGCGATAAGTGACGTCTTTGTGGTCCAGGTACGTCGTATCAAGAAAAGAATGACGTTCGCATGGTTATCCCGTATTCATCGGCAGTACCGAACCGAATTTTTCTCTCCCTTTTTTTGCCACCCCTTTCTTTTTTATCTCGGTCCGCCCATCCTGTTACGAGCTGCATTACGGCGCGCCGGAATGCGACGGGCAGATAACGATGGTAATGTTCGGTTGCTGCATAGATAGTAATCGGTCTGGAAATGGGTAAAGGGGAGTTGTTACGAGTGAATTAGCGGGTCCGCGTGCGCGTGCAATGTGTTCCAAGTAGCCCCGGGAATCCCCGGTTTGACGCGAGGGACTTTTTAGCAGCCGATCGTATAAGACGTGCCGCGAGTAATCTTTTAGCGAAGTTTGTTATCGTAGCTTTCTAAATTTATTATTATGTTATTTTAATTATGTTAATTTATTATGTTATTTTAATTGTTTTAATTAACCCTCCGACTCTTCTAAAAGACATGCGTATCATATGAAGACAATTTTATAGAGTAATTTTGAGAGTGCTGAGTTAAACTTATTATCAAAATTTAAGGATGTTTATATGTACAATCCCAGCAAAAAGTAAGATTCACTGATAATCGTACTAAAAATCCAACCTCTAAAAATCCATCCCGTTGCTTGGTTTTTTTTAGAGGTAAAACTACCCCCAAAAAAGTTTTATTAAATTTCTCGGAAACAGATTCAGATATGAAAAAATATTTCCAATAAAAGTTGTTTAGCTTGAAATTCTGCACAAGAGAGGTCTCTCATTTTTATTGTAGAACTATCCCTTTCGTCGGAAACCGCGTCTAAAGAAAGATAGTTTATGTGATATCTTTGAGGATGCTTTGTATGCACAATCCCAGCAAAAAGTAGCTGAAAATCAATATTGATGAATATATTTACTTTTGGTGTATTTTGAGTATGAGAAATTGTGTGGAATATTAGAATTTCTTAGTGCAGATGTATTTTTTAATATTTATCGTTTTTAATGAAATAATTATCCGAAATTTGTTAATCGAAATGATTAACTTTTGGTAGAGAATTTCGCTTTGTAACAGATACATGGCTAACTTTATTGAATTATATTTAATATCTTTTTAACAAGTTAGTACTTGTATAATATTATTTGCCCAAATATTTCCTCTGTATGTAAACTTTTGCAAATTTTAAACAAATTCTGAATATTATTTCCATGTGTTTTTATCATTTGAATCGACGTGGTTATACATTTCTCATAAGAATACATGTTAATTCGGTGCAAATTAAAATCCTTATAACTTGTGAACGCTTTAGTAACTCGATTTAAAAATTGTACCGAAGATTCTAAACATATATAAGGACATTCTGTACAATTTTCATTAAATTCTCAATATTTTGAAAATAGGTACGAAACATCCTTAAATTTAAGATGACAGATTCAAGATAGCAGCCATGAAAAGAATTATCGATATATTTAAAATATGATCTCGGATTTTATTTTTTTAAATATATATTATACATATAAACTGTTCTAGCAAACACTAAGTAACATTTATATAATTGTTAGTAATTGTTTGTAATTTTCCACTCAACAATATAACTGTTACATGTTATATAATTGTTTTCATAATCTGTAACAGTTATATTGTTGTGGGAAATTATAATTAACAATTATATAACTGTTATTTAGTGTTTGCTGGGATTACATCACAAAGTTATAATCATATTTAAATAAAACTTTAAATATATAATTAATGCATCAATTTTATGATTTTCCAACATATTATTCTTCACTATCTAAAAGTTTGATTTTTTGCAAAGTTTAGATAATTATATTTTATTGCAAACTTTACATTTCAAAGTGCGTGACTTTTTTATAAGTAGCCTGAATGTTCTTCTTTAAAATAAGCCGAGGTAAAATTCGATAGAATTATTTATTTAAAAGTTATGATTTTTTTCGTAGGTGATACATAAAGAGTTAATGCGAGAACTTTTAATTATTATTTGCAATTTTTCTTATCCGATTTAAATATACATTTTTTTCATATCGATCAGAGTTACGCTCATGTTATTTCTATCTGATCTGATCGTAATTTTGATCACTATAATATACACGTACACATGTAGTTAAAATTGCTTCGCGATAAGAATCTATTATAAGAAAAATCGATAGAAGGCGGCGCACCGTGAATGACAAAGCGTTCTATTTCTAAGCAAAACACGGCAAACGACGATGACGGTAACGGGCGATTGGCCAACGCAAATATTAGCAGTATTGATCGTGCCGATACCGTAATTAACACGTTAGATTCGTTTCCAATTAAAAACGAGCAGGAAACGAGAGACATTCTTAACGTCGCGGCGCGCTTGAAATAGGAAAGATCTCTTTTCCGGAGGGGAGAAAAAAAGAGAAGTGCATTTTCAGTTCGAGACCCTCCAACAACCGCCCCAGGAATTCGAGTCGAATAATTTCCCATAGAAATTCGGCACAGAAATATTGCAATAACATTGCAGAAATATTTCTTTGCAAGATTGCAACATTGCAGAAAGGTTGCAAAATGTTGCTGCAACGTTGCTGCAATATTGCAGCAACGGTAAAATGTCCGCTTGTAGAAATACTGCAATGCAATATTGCAGCAATGTTACAGTGCAACGTATTTGTAATATTAAAACGCGTTTTGCTACAAAGACATCGTTAAATTTAATAAATAAACTTTGAAAACATAAAAAAATATTTAAGAAAGATAGGAAAAAATGCCTTTAAAAAAACATCTATTAGTATTTTTATTAGATGTTTCTTAAATATTTATGTCAATAATATTACATACAATTATTTTACATACATTCGACATTCCAGAATATTTTAATACGTGCAATAAATGAATTACTTCCTATTTACCCATTCAATTAAGAAAAATCTGCTTAATATTCCGAAACCCAATGAAGGATCCAGATTATTAAACAAATTATTTGTTTAATAATCTAGATCCCCATTAAGATTCAGAATATTAAGTAAATCAAGTCAGTTTATCGCCAGAAATTAAACTGATACAAGACAAGAAATATAATTACTACATTAATCCTTTTTAGATCTTATATCCATCTTAGATGAATTCGAATACGAGTTAGTTAAATTGGGTAGGGGCAAGTAAAGAAACACATGTTATACATTTTCGCTATGTTAAAATGTTGCTGCAACATTGCCAAAGTAATATTACAAAATAATATCTCTGCATTATTTCTGCAACTGCAGTTATTATTGCACTGCAGTGAGCAATATTGTAACATTGCTCTCTAAAAGTGAATCAGTGAAAATATCACTAATTTAAACAGTAAAATAAGATTTCACTGAGAATAAGTAAGTATTTTACTGATTTTTAATGGAAACGCTTATTTTTTGTTATTTTATCTTATATCTCACTGATTATGGTCAGTTAAAATAAAATTCACTGTAAAATCAGTAAATTTTACTGTAAAACCAGTAATCGCTAGTTCGTTCATTTACCATTACAATCGCTATCTCTCTCGTATTTAATTTTAGTTATAAGAATTATATAAAGTTTGCAAAGAGCGACATTTAAAATTAGAAGTATTACTTCGATTTAATTTCTGATACAAGCTCAATAGAGAGGCTTCAGATATTAAATCGATCTTTATAAGTCGGACAAATAAATGTCTGGCGACTTAATAAAAATTATTTGTTCGTTATCTATTTAAAATAACAAGTTCAATATGCATGTAATATAAATAAAAAATTTTTAATATAATAAATATTGAGTAAATATAAATAAAATTTTTAATTTTATATGAAATAGATAAAGAGATGAATTATAGTTTAATATTACTGACAATAACGAAAGAAATATTACTGATATTGAGAAATATTACTGATTGAAACAAGTCAAAATTATTAACTGATTCTTTCAATAAAATATCACTGATTTACAGTGCTGTACTT